CCCGTCGGTGGGGACGGGGGGAGCTAGGCGGGGGCCCCCCGGTACCGCCAGCCCCGGGGCACACCCCCACCCTGCGGCTCCCCGCGGCTCAAGGGCCTCCGCCGCCCCCGCTCCGCTCCCCCGCGGTACCCTGGGCCGCGGCGGAGGGGTGTGGATCGCCTCCCCCTCCCACACACATCGCTGGTGGAGGCCTTCGTGCAGGGAGAAGGCTTGAGTAAAGGAACAGCTTCGCCTGTTGGAGGGGTGTGTCGTGCCCTGGTGTCTTCACCCGGGGAGTGCTGCTATGGGTCTGGGTTGGTTTTTTTGTTTTATGTTTTAAAAAAGGTAGCCTTAGCAGCAAAACTCCCTTGGTGTGGTGAGACTAGCATGCGGTGGCAACTGGAGAACTGAAGGTAGACCAGTTTAGTGAATGTTTAGGGGCTACAGGAGAAGTTACGAGTACTTATTGGCACTTTAACCAAAGCTTTAGCTGAACTAAGCAGTTACAGATGGGTTTAAGATGAGTAAAGTGTGTTTGTTCCCTGTTCAACAACTGTAAAAGAAAAATTGCTTCTCGTCTAGCTAGCTACAACTCCAATGTAGTTTGCACAGTGATGCAAAACGAGGAACACAAGTTTGAGGTGACCGGAGCAAAATGGCTCTGAAGCATATCTTTCCATATGCAAATGGTAACACAGCTCAGTTTAGCTAGTATGGAAAATGATCGGGGTGAAGAAGCATTAAAAGTCATTCTTCCCTACCCCTTTTTACTTTATTTTTTCACGTATCTTTGTTTTGCATCTCTTTGAAACTATATTTGTTAACTACAATCTATGGCATACATCACTTCTGTGTTGTTTTTCATGCAGCTTGCTGCCCAGTCTTTTCCACAGTTCTGAAACAGTCCTAGGCAATTGATAAAGATAGAAGTTTGGAAGGGACGCAGTTCTCTTATTTCATCTTCATGTTTCTGCATTTCTGAGATTCTTTTTAAGTAGCAGTTATTGACAACAGGGAACATTTAAGTTGCTAACAATTCTGTGCACAGGATGCTGCCTCACTGGAGATTAAAAAAAAAAAGGATGTTTAAAATATGATCCAAGTAAATAGCTGCAATTGTTCCTTTCAGTTGTCTTATTTTTCATAATTGTTACTAAATGAACAGCATTTCTTTAAGTATCTCTTCTGTTGTCACTGTGTGAGAAATGATGCGTACATACAGAATTATGTACTTCGTGAAGTAGTGTGGGGTAATGGGGTTTGATTTGGTTGAACTAATCTGTAATAAGGCGGGTCTGTAACTGGCTACAGGAAAGAATTCTGGTTTACTATAGTAGATTCTTAGACAAAATTAATCCAAAGTACAGCTCTGTATTCGGTGCTGAAGTGTTTTGGTTTTTTGTGGTTTTCTTTTTTTTACTGGTGCTCTGAAATGCTGGACCAGTATCATCTGAAGGGTTAGTCTGAGATGGTTCTTTACTGTGCTTTGCTTTGGGCTATCTGAACTGCAGCAGATTATCTGTGTAGTTTGGTCAAATACTTGTCTTGTAAATCAATCCTAATCTGGTAATCACTCTGATTGTTCAGGAGGAGAAGAAAGACTTTGTATTTTCAGGGGAAGAATAAATATTTACTCTTACAGATGTAGAAGTTCATCCCATAATTCGCTCTGGAAGTGAGAATTTGGTTCTCATTTGACCCATGGATTCATGGATTTGTGTCTGTATATGTCTTGTCTGTGACACCAGCGAAGATGGTGGTGGAAAGGCTTCTTTTGTAAGGACTTGGACATCACTGTTATAACGCATAACTCTAGAAATATGTGCATGACTACTAACCACTGGGGTCGCTGTGTGGAAAGACTCCCCTACCACATAAAGAATTTTACTGGTAAAACTGACCCTTATATATTATTTTTTTAGCTCATTATCACATCACTGCAAAGGTTAGTTTGTCAACATGAACTAATAATAGAAAGATTGCTGGATACATATTCTTAATAAAGACATAGGTTTGCAAGAGGGAGGGAAACCTTCTTGGTCATTTGAAAGTGGAAGTGTTGTTTTTCCACCATTAATTCTATTTTTCTAAGGCTAAGTACCACCTTTTATTGAGGTTTTTAAGTACCTTAGTTCAGAAGAATGTTTCCCCTTAATGAAAATAAAAAGCATTTTGCTCTTCTGACTGGTTCCAAGACTGGTCAAAACCACTTTGCCCAACAATACCAAAATGTTGCTGGATAGCAAATGTTTCAGCACCTTTTGCACATCAAACAATTGCATATGAGAAAGTTTCCAGGGATACATAAAACAACCAATAAAAGCTGGTAGGAAGGAAACAAACCAGTAGGCTGCTGCTTCCTCTACTGTTGTAAGGGGGATATGTGTCTATATCTGAAGTGTAGAATATAGGCTTTTTTATACAACGTGAAGCATGCGATGGGTTGTAAAGCCTGATAGCAGATATGAAAGATGCTAGCAAGTACTTGAGTGAAGCTTGGTTGCCACCATTCTGTGGCTTATAAATGGAAGTTACATATAAAAAACCTGGCTTGCTAAGGGCTGGCTAGGCATCTGCGTATTTCAGTGTTGATTTGGTGATATCATAAAGAGTATTTTATACGCCACAAAGAACAGTCAGCTTTCCAAAAAGTGACGTGAATGTTCCAAAGTAATTCATTCTACCAGGGGCAAACAACTGTGTTAGAACAACTAAAATTTTTTTTGCATGGTAAGGTTATTTCTTACATTTCTAACCCCTAAGGAAACTGAAATTTTTGTGAAGTCTTGAAGGAAGGTGTTTTTTTGATTATTTGAAACAGAAGTGCTGGGTTTTTTAAGTCCCTTGTATAAAAGTCAAAGTTGATTTTCTGGAATAACTAAAATGTTCTTACCATGCCACATGCTTTGCATTCTTACTAATGCCTCAAATATATCTTTGATAGTTACTGTGCAGTTTAGATCTACCGTTACTACTGCGAACCCTAGAAATAGAATACAATAGACTATTTCAGTTGGAAGTGACCTACAATGATAATCTAGTCCAACTGCCTGACCACTTCAGGGCTGACCAAAAGTTAAAGCATATTGTTAAGGGCATTGTCCAAATGCCTCTTAAACACTGACAGACTTGGGGCATCGACCACCTCTCTAGGAAGTCTGTTCCAGTGTTTGACCACCACCTCAGTAAAGAAATGTTTCTTAATGTCCACTCTAATTCCCCCCGGTGCACCTTTAAACCATTCCCACTGGAATCCTATCACTGGATCCCAAGGAGAGGAGCTCAGCACCTCCCTCTCCACTTCCCTCCTCAGGAAGCTGTAGAGAACAATGAGATTACCCCTCAGCCTCTTTTTCTCCAGACTAGGCAAGCCCGGAGTCCTCAGCCGCTCCTCATAGGACATACCTTCCAACCTTTTCACCGTCTTTGTTGCCCTCTGGATGCATTCAAGGACCTTCACATCCTTCTTATATTCTTAAATTGAGTACTGCACACAGTACTCAAGGGGAGGCCACACCAACACTGAATACAGCAAATTCATCCCCTCTTTTGACTGACTGGTCATGCTGGGTTTGATGCACCCCAGCATGCTGTTTGCCCTCTTGGCTGCCAGCGCACACTGCTGACTCCTGTTGAGCCTGCTGCCCACCAGCACCCCAGATCCCTTTCTGCAGGGCTGCTCTCCAGCCGCTCATCTCACAATTTGTACTTGTGCTTAGCATTATTCCATCCTAGGTGCAGAATCCGGCACTTATTCTTGTGAAATTTCATGCCATTGATGATTGCCTAATGCTCCAATCTACCTAGATCCCTCTGCAATTACTATATTATTATATTTACTATGGCACTTGCAGACATTTTATCATTGTGTGTACCATAACTGTGGTATTACAGTCATAATACAACTGTTCAAATGTAATAAAGCCCTTGTGACATCATGTCATTATCTGAGAAATAAACAATACCAATGCTGCTTTAAGATCCTTTGTCAATAAACTGATACTTAATGTTTCTGATGGTTTGTGAGATACATCTTGCTGCTTGCAGGCTTGTTCACTTTAATTTAAAATGAACAATACCATGCAGCTACCCATGCTACATAGTTCTTTCGCTGCCACCTTTCTTCGCTTCAGCACTGCTAATATAAAAAAATGCTAGTTAGTCTTTGGAAATATTTGTTACTGCTGTTCTGACACTGAACATACTCAGGAAAAATAAGCAAACAGAGCCACAGTGGAGCTAAAAAGAAGAACACAATGCAAAATAGAAAAGGGCGAATGTCAAGAGCAGGCTTCTATCTTAAAACTTCTGAAGGAATCTCAAGTGTTACTTGCTGAAATTTTTCATGCATGTGCTGCCTTACTTCATGAGACTTTATTGTGCATGTTGATTTTCTTAAATAATATAATTCTTTTTAAATACTGTTGCTAAAGTTATTTTATTGCTTAATGTCTCCCGAATACTTAAATGAAATTAGGAAAGACACGTTGCTTTAGAAAATTAATTGGAAAGCAGCATTTCAAGGACTGTTAGGAATGGTTGATTTAGTAAACAAGGCTCATGCATAAAAGTTTGTTTCACAGAAAGTTATGATCAAACATACAGTTTGATCATCATCACTGAATAATACAAACTGGAAAAGAATAAATAAGATTTTAGGAGTTCTTTGTAGACCAGAAGCTGGGTTAAATTATTTTGAAAGAAGCTTTCAAGTAGGTATACAAATGTCTAAATAGAAAGGAAAATAAATCTAGTAAGAGAACTGGATGTAAAGAGATCTTTTTTCAGGTCTTTCTCTTCTTGTCTGTGAAAGGTTACCTCTTCAATTTTGCCACTGCTGCTACAAAAAAGATATCTGAATCCGTTGCCGAAACAGCACAGACGATAAAGAAGTCTGTAGAAGATGGAAAAATTGACAGTATCATTGATAAGGTATTTTATTTCTAGATACTGATCTGAAAGATCTGTTTGCTTCCTGTTGTTGTATTGTGGCAAATTTGGCAAGTGATAGCATTTCTTTAAGCTGGCTTTAGGAATTCTGTATTTCAAGAGCAGATCTCTCTTGTCATGATAAATGATGCGACTGAAACTTTTATTCAGGGTAGACATGCCAAAAAACGGTCACTCTCCTTTACTCGGTGCTGCACTTGTGTTCCTTTCCTTCAGGATGTAAATACACTGGAGAATGATTAGAAGAAAATACGAAAAAGGCTGACATAGGAAGAAAGGCTGGAAGAATGAGTAGAGACAGGCAGTTGGGGGATGTCTGGGAGATGTGTGGGTTAGTTTTTTTCCCTAGTTTATTTAGGTGGAAAGAGGAATGCTATAGCTTGAACCATAAATGCATCTCTGAAGCAAGATTCAAAATTAGGTCACCTTTGTGGATGTTGTATGCTAAGACCCTAGAGCTATACAGGTAGAGTTTCCTAAGACCCAGTGAGTTAGTGAAACAGCTCACTATTGTCCTGTTCTTTCCCTCACCCCGACTTGTCTCTTGCCCTCCCTGTTCCTGGCTGCCAGCTCCAGTTGCTTAACTTCTGCCAGCAAGCGTTCTTCCAGTGCTTTAACTCATGAACTTGGCAGAAAGGGGGCGGAAGCAGCAGTAAGTGCTATGTAGTGTTGTGTGCTTTTTAGTGAGGGTAGAGGGGAAGGGAACTGGCCAAAAAACACACAGCTGTCGTGGGACAGTGCATCCAGGGGTGACAGATGTGAGAGATGCAGCCAGACCCCTCCTTCTGCTCCTGTCTGACACCCCTTCAAGGCAACTAATGTGTTGCCTTTTTTTTTTTTAATACAATAAAGTTCAGTTTCTTAATAAAATTAGTGTTCGTGTTGTCTTCCAAATTAATCATCAAATGACACTTCTAAATTCCTGTTATGATTGAATTTTGTCTCCAGAATTCATTGAATTTTAGTGACAATGGTGTATATGTAATAGCAGAGTTATATGTCCTACTACAGTATATTAGAGTCTAACGTGATTTTGATCCACATCAAAAAGGAAAAATAAGAAAGAAGGTAATTTGGTAATTTAATACACAAATAATAATGTTCATATGAAACTGTAGCTAAGTACCTACAGCATATTTTATGCTTAAAATACCATTTTCTGTGAATGCCTTAGAGTAATATGAATTCACTGTTCTGACTAATAAGTTTACATATGGGAGAAATGGGATTATAGCAGTATCATTGTAAAGTTTTTTTCTTACACCATATAAATTATTTTATTCCATAAATATAGAAAATTCATATAACTTACAACCAGGAGGAATCACAATGATCTACTTTTGTAACAGGTGCTACAGTAGTTCTTTCACTGATGTTAATCTTAAACTGAAATGATGGGTTTTTGAAGGAAAAATAAAAAGAATTTATCAGGATTTAGTTTGAAGACTTGCATGCTTTGTGGCAACTTGTTAAGCCATAGACCTCACTGCATAAAATGTGTATTTTGTGAGTGGTTTAAGTATTAATTTCTAGCTTCATGGGTTTTTCCCTCTGCTTTCAACTACAGAACAACATTTGCAGTGTTACTTCTAGATTATGGCATGCTGACTTCTGAGATCATTCTCCATTTTTTAATTCTAAATTTAATATAGGATATTTCTGAACATAATTTTTTGATGAAAATTTGTCAACAACATAAATGGAGAAATTATTTTATTTCAGCTAAGCAGACATTCTTAAAATCATACTTAACAATTTTACAAGTCCGATTTATTGCAATGGATATATTCCATAGGTAACTCTTGAAACTTACTGTAAGGCCAAGGGTATCCTTAAATGTTTAATGCTTTAAAAACATGTTTAAATAAGTCTAAACAGTCTATGTTATCTGTATTTGATATGGTAAGGTGGTAAGTGTGTATGCATAGTATACTGATATTCAAATTATCAGCTACGATTTTCCTTCTCTTTTTTTTTGTCCCCTGAACTTGATAAAACTATAAATGTAATTTTGAAAGCATACACAATAGGTTAAACTTTTAAAGGCGAAATCAAATGTTTTGGTAAATGGGAATGTATGACTTACATGAAACACCTTTAATTTACAGAAAGGGCCACCAGGGATATAAGAATATGATCCTGCACTGTATTTGAAAGCACTTTCAGAGTGAACATGAAACAAGAGGAGTGAATTTTCTTTTTTTATTGTGGTTCCCTAATTTTTATTTTAGACAATTATTGGAGATTTTCAGAAGGAACAGAAGAAATTTGTCCAAGAGCAGCAAACAAAAAAATCAGGTAATGTATGCTTTTTTGATAATGCATAATATTGCATAAGCTAAAACTTGCTGGAAACTGGATAATTGAGCTATATCTAAACCTAATCTATCAAAACTCTGATTAATGAAACACATTACGGCAGAACTTAACATATATTGTGGAACAGGAAGATGACATTTTTAAGTGAGGTTAGTGTTACATTATCTAGGTGGTTTAGATTTTCTTTTTTTACCAAATTGGGCTTTGTGAAATTAACTCAAAGATCACTGTGCTAGCAAAGCTGATCTCTTATTGTTGTTTTGAAACTTAAACCTGTGTATTTATTGAAAAGAGGTATGCTGATTACTTTTGAGCATTAGGGATCATGTCGTACTTTCATAACGACATGAAAAACACGGGTTAGGGTGTGCACTATAGTATTTAATTAGTATTGCTGTAGGAGTTGCTCTGCTTACATTAAAGGCATAATTGCTCTTTTGCTTTCCCATAAATCATTTGCTTTATAATTATCTGTGATCTAAATCCTTTGAGTTACCCACCCATGTACTATTGACATCAGTGGATCTATTGAGACTTTAAAATAAGCCAAATTTTTTTTTTTACATTGTGTTTAATCTCTTTTAATGTGTTACCTGAATGCAGTAATTTCTGACAGTTAATCTATTGTTCATCTTGAGAATGAGCTGGTTTTAAATGGATTGTGATAAAAATTTTCATATTGTCTGTAGTTAATATCTTACTCTGGTTTCTTCTTGCAAGACTTCTTATGTGATTGCGTTGTCTGTATTTCTGTCTTTTTTTGTCCCGTAGCAAACTTTGGCATCTGTTAATGTATTTCTACAAGTTTCATGAAAATAGGTAGCTAGATTGCCGAAAGAAGGAGTAACAGATGGCCTAACTGAAAGAAGCATTAGCATCAGGTGTGAATCCATGTGGGTGAAAGATCTTGCTGATGTCAGGTGCATAGGCAAATAAGCATTGTTGGTTTAAGTGCACAAGAACTATTTGTTAACTGTTACAGATGCATCATAATGTCTCTGTAGGCTGAATCTGCACTGACAGTGAAGAGATTAATAGATTTCTACACATCTACAATATTTTATTTTCCTCTATGTACAGCCTACGGAACTATTGTGGAAGTATTTGTGTAAATATATAGATCGGCTGAACTTGAGTATGCTTATTCAGCGTGTAGCATGTTGTAATTTATAACAAATTTATAACTTATTTTTCTCCATCGCTAAAGAATTGCTGTCTTCTGGGTGTTAGCAAATTAATACAATAGTAAATGATTTTGAAAACTTATTTTAGATAAAGTTTACATGTTTGAAGTGAATCTAGACATTTCTATTTGCGTGCGGCTTAACCAGGTATACAGCACTACTTCAGTTAACGAAAGTATGAGTCACCAAGTTCTGACTCATGCACACTGCAAAGAAATCCCCACAGTTGCTTTACAAAACCAGAAAATTATTTATTCTTTTTTTTACCTCTGATGAGCAAAGATCCATTCTTAGACTTTCTCTTTTATGCCATGAGCTTAGTTTAGGGAAAAGGAACAATGAATTGGCTTACTGATGTAAGTCTGCTCATTTTTGTGACATCATATGCTACTTTATGTGAGGTTTGGGTGGTTGGTTTTTTTTAAGTAATACACATGTAAGTATTTTCTTCCTGTCAATAACAGAGGCAGCAGTGCCTCCCTGGGTAGACAGCAATGAAGAAGAGACAATTCAACAACAAATACTGGCCTTATCAGCAGTAAGTATTTAGTTTCGTGGAAGATCTGAAATTTTTCTGTTAGAGAGGTTAAAACCTCCCTTATTTTTTAAAGTAATTTTGGCTGGCATTATTAAATTATGTATTTTTTAGTATATGTCTTTTAATGTGTCTGTCACTGCACTAATTATCTGCAAGCATAAATAGTTCTTTCAGTATCAACTTGAGCCAAAGTAGATCACCAATATAATTTTTTCATTTTTATAAAGGCTTTGCAGCTTTGTGGTATTGTAGAATTATGTGGGAAGTGGGATTGCTTTGCTGGTCTTGTGTGTGGAATATGATATCCATTTTCTGATAACGGTTAATGACCATAAATATGTTCTTCAAAGGATAAACGAAATTTTCTGCGGGATCCTCCAGCAGGTGTGCAGTTTAATTTTGACTTTGATCAAATGTACCCTGTTGCAATGGTGATGTTACAAGAAGATCAGCTTCTCAATAGGATGAGGTTTGATCTCGTTCCCAAACAGTAAGTAATTTCTGCTGGTAACTGTGTATGGTTGTACTTTTTAATGTGTCTGTAAATATTCATAAATTACTCCTTTTCACTTCCTTAAATTCTTTCTTTATATACTTCCTCTGTATGTATTTTATATCTGCTAATTTCAAATGGTATGGAATGTTGCATGTGCATTGTAGTTTAGCAATTAGAGAAAAGAACAGAAGTAGATCTGTTAGAAATTCAGAACCTGTTGACTGAAGTATGGGAGAGGCTTTAAATTTTTCTGTGTACAGTGTGCTAAATTAATTGAAAATCTTTTTCCCGAACAAAGGTACATGCAGCAACAAAAATGTTCAGATCTATTGGTGTAACTGACACCCCAAAAAGGTCATTAGAGATAGTCAGAAGCCCCCTGGAGAAATGGTGAAAGAATGCATCACAAAACAGCAGCAATGCAAGCAAGAAAAACTGGTTTTGAATAGGCAACGGGAAAAGCTCTGTGTTGTGACTGCCTTCCTTCTAGTGGACCTAACTAAAAGATCCATAAGGTCTTTGTCCCAGCAGTTTTGGCCTGTTGCAGTATGGCTTCTTGATCCCAGCTTTATTCCAGTGCTGTTCTCCTTCCTTGTCCAGTCCAGGACTCTACTCCTTAAGCTTGTTTCACAGGTCAAAGTTCTTTTTAAGCAGGAGTTCCCAACATTAGTCTCTTGTCTGAGGATGGAAACAGGAAAGAAATCTTTCATTAGTCTTTTGTCTGAGGATGGAAACAGGAAAGAAAACATATTTCTTCGTGCACTTTGCTGTCTTAAATCTCCTCCTTTTATAAACCTTCCCAGCTCCTTATGTTATTTACTCCATTCCCTGCTGTTCTTTGCTGCTGTCAGTCCTAAAGCTCTGCCCATATTCTAGGTCTTCATCAGATTTGCCTCTGATGCTCTGTCTTTAGCGTCTGGTCATGCTATCCTTACCTGTCCTACCCCATTGCTTAACTTATTTTTTTTCTGTTCTTAGTCTCAGTAGTCACCGTTTGCCTGAATGGGGAGAAGGTAACTTCACTCTCTTTCTTTCTTACTTGACCTACACACCTTCCTCCCCACAGGCCTTGCTATTTCTGACTTTTCTTCCCTCTGGGTTAAAGTTGGGTTTTTTCCTTGCTTACCTGGAGGATTATCAGAAGGAAACATGACCTAAGAAATGGGATAGTCTCCTGCTTATCAGAGCTGGTTGTTTGCGAGAAGTTACGGAAGGTTCTGCAGACATGCTGAAAGATGTGAAGATAGTGAAATAGTTCAGCTGCAATCTAGGAATTGCCTCTGCTTGTAGATCAAAGATGTTCCAGTTCCACCTCAGGTCTAGGAAAGATGTAGATGAATATAGTTTGACAATGATAAAATGTTGGTTTTGGAGCATAAGTGAACAGAACAGGGTTATTTGGCATGTTGGGTTTGTTTATGTATTTGGCAAGAGAGATGGAACAGCGTAATATTTTTCCAAACTATGTATTGCTGCATGCTGTTAAGCTTTTTCTTAATAATGTCGTTGTTGCTGTTATTATTATTATTATATGCCCAAGTCCATTGTAACTGTCTTGTAAGAGACCAAGAACTTCTACAATGACAGTTTTTAAAAAACTGTGTTAATATCACAAATTTCTAAGTTTTTACTTAAAAGGCAGCTGTTCCTGCTCCTTCCCTCTGAGTATTTAATTTTATTTCATTGCTAGGTGGTAAAAGGAACCGTATTTCCAAACGTAGTAATCAAAATCTGTTTGCTGTCTCTAGCGTAAAAGAGGAGGTCTTCTGGAGAAATTATTTCTACAGGGTGTCCCTAATTAAACAGTCTGCACAAATCACCGCACTTGCAGCTCAACAGCAAGCAGTAGGAAAAGAAGAGAACAAAGGCAGAGAAGAGGATAGTCAACTGAAAGGTATGGAAAGGGTTTGTTTTAGCACAGCTGACTGTATACATCAAGTGACATCAAATTTTTATCCTGGATTCATAAAATCAGAGCTTCTCTCATCATTCTTGGTCTATTTTTCTAGATGGTGGAAGAGGGGGGCTCCTAAGTGCTTTTAAGTCATTTTCCAATTTCAGCCAACTTTGTCAGAAGAGTGGAAATCTCAAGAGATGAAATTTTGTACTTGGCTTATAACAGCTCAAGACCACTAGTGGTCTCTGGTGTGCTTTTTTGACTTGCCTGAAAGAAGCAGGAGGTAACTTTGGCTCACCTGATAAGACGAGAGGTACTAGCCAACCCAGCCAGCTGGCATACAGTTTGTTCTTGGCTTTTGCTTAGGCCTCAGGCCAAGCAAAGTTAGTGATACAGGAGTAGAATTACTGTGGTAGCAGAGGCAGAGACTCATGCAGGACATGGAAAGACAGACCATGTATTATAGAAATCGAGGAAGATGGGGCCCAAGAGACTACCTGGGATTCAACCTTGAGATGAAAAAGCGACTTGAAAGTAGGCATCTTCATTTACACTGATCAGTTTATACAGATTATTCTTACTGACTTACTGAACCATTGGGCATCTTTATCTGCATGCAAATAAATTCTGCAAGCAGGAACATCTGCAGCTTAAAGAGTGTAAAGCAGTTACTAAGACAAAAGGTAACTAGTACCTAATTAAATCTTAGCTTAAGATAGATATGCTCAACACCCCTGATAAGACACCTGAACAATCTTGGCAGGCTGGGTAGGCATTAGGCAGAAGGAGAAAGCCTTCACTGCACTTTGGAACAGATTCTCTTATCCTCAAAATCAATAAACTGTCAAAATCCAGAAAATCCATTAATGCTGAGGTCCTGTTGACACTGCTGGCCTGACTGACAAGCAACTGATCCCTGCAAAGTTGACTTTTTTCTCCCCTTTCAAATATAGTATCTTGCCATATTGGTATTTTTCCTCGAGTCCTTGCACTGCTAACAAGCCCATCTTTCTAATTCTAGCTCAGTTTCTAATTTCACCTTTCTTATCTTTTTACAGACTTTCTCACAGCTCTTTTGCACAATTTAGTAATTTTCTGCACAGTCTGAGCTAAGGTTACTCAGCTGGGCCTTAGCTCCTTGGACACAGGCAGCTAAGCCTTGCGGTGAAGGGGAGGTTACAAAGGGTATTACAGAGTCGGGCTTGCATGTTGCATAAAAGATGCCTTTTCAAAAAGGACTGTAGTAGTTTCCTCAAGCTTTTTTTTGTGTATGTGTGCTTTTGCTGTTAGTTTGTCTCATTCTGTTTCTCGTAGGTACTGTTCAGAGTGTGCGTGTGTGAGCATAGGCAAGGTCCCCATCTAGAATGAACAAATTAGTTTTATCTGAGTTAAAATCCAAGCAATGCTGACAGGACAGGTCACTCCAGAATCTACTGTGCAGACAAAGAGGCACTAATTCTGACTCCCTTTATCCAGGACAGTTGTCTGCTGTCCCAATGGGCTATATACAGTCAAACATTGCAGCATGTCCCCATGTTGAACAGCATGCTGTCAATCATAGAAACATTACTCACATTATTTCAGTCTATTTAAGCTTAAAAAAAATCATGGCCTCACTTGAGCATGTTACATGGAGCACAGAGGAGACTTAGGCCAAATCTATGCAAAGTGACCGTAGGCCTTGTGCCCTCCAGAGGATGCTGGCCTTTGAGGAGAGTAACTATTGCCAGCACACACCAGTGGGATGTAGGGAGCAGGATTCCCTCCCTGGGAAGATTGACAAAGACAGTATAGAAATAGCCCAACATGATTTATATGTTTACTATAACGATGTAATTCTTTTGCTCAGTACAGTTCAAAAGACTGCTTTAAGCAAAGGAGTACAGAACTTACCTTTGGTTTGATTTTCTTATGTGCCTTTAAAATATGTGCAGGTTAAAAAATGAAGTTGAGAATTACATGATAGTGAATCTTCCTACTGTTTTTGTAGTTTTGTAAGGATGTTCTTTTCTCTCTGCAGAAAGAGAAGAGCAATAGAGGAAATGTCAGAAACGTTTTGTCTTTACCTTTTAGTGCTGACTGTATTTAGGTTCATTTCCTACTTGCCTGTTCATGTCAAGTCACTTCTACACGCTACATATTCAGCTCCCAATTCTGTCATTTTCTATGAGCAAATTGTGTTTGCTGTCACACTGTGCAGGTACCATTAACTCAGGAAATTGCGGGGATTCTTATAATGGCATAAACTTTTGCAACTAACTGGCATCTAAATGCATTTGTCTAATTTTCTTTCTTTCTTGTATTACTTTATTGTTGTGATTTTGTTAAATCTCTTTTTCATTTCTGTTCCTTTGGATTTCTTATTACACCAACTGATAGGATTATATTATAGACTATTAAGAGTAGGGACTGTCTTCTCTGGTTTCTGTAGTGCCTCACAAGAGATCTTTGAATCATAGAATCGTTATGGTTGGAAGAGACCTTTAAGGTCGAGTCCAACCATTAACCTAGCACTGCCAAGTTACCTCTAAACCATGTCCCTCAGCACCACATCAACACGTCTTTTAAATACACCCAGGGATGGTGACTCAGCCACTTCCCTGAGCACCCTGTTCCAATGCTTGACAAAACTTTCAGTGGAGAAATTTTTCCTAATGTCTGATCTAAACCCCCGCAGGGATAACTTAAAGACATTTCCTCTTGTCCTATGGCTTGTTACTTGGGAGAAGAGACTGACCCCCACCTCTCTACAACCTCCTTTCCAGTAGCTGTAGAGAGTGATAAAGTCTCCCCTCAGACTCCTTTTCTTCAGGCTAAACAGCCCTGGTTCCCTCAGCCGCTCCTCATAAGACTTGTTCTCCAGACCTGTCACCAGCTTCGTTGCCCTTCTCTGGACACGCTCCAGCACCTCAGTGTCTGTCTTTTAGTGAACTGAACACAGTATTCAAGGTGCGGCCTCACCAGTGCCGAGTACAGGGGATGATCACTTCCCTAGTCCTGCTGGCCACGCTATTCCTGATACAAGCCAGGGTGCCATTGGCCTTCTTGGGACCCGAGCACGCTGCTGGCTCATATTCAGCTGGCTATCAACCAACACCCCCAGGTCCTTTTCCACCAGGCAGCTTTCCAGCCACTCTTCCCCAAGCCTGTAGCACTGCATGGGGTTGTTGTGACCCAAGTGCAGGACCCGGCACTTGGCCATGTTGAACCTCATACCATTGATCCAGCGTGTCCAGGTCCCTCTGTAGAGCTTTCCTACCCTCAAGCAGATCAACACTCCTGCCCAACTTGGTGCCATCTGCAAACTTACTGAGGGTGCACTCAATCCCCTTGTACAGATCCTTGATAAAGATATTAAACAGAACAGGCCTCAGCACTGAGCCCTGTGGAACACCACTTGTGACTGGCCACCAACTGGATTTAACTCCATTCACCACAACTCCCTGGGCACAGCCATCCAGCCAGTTTTCCACACAGTGAAATGTATGCCCATCCAAGCCAGGAGCGACCAGTTTCTCCAGGAGAATGCTGTGGGAAACAATGTCAAAAGCCTTACGAAGTCCAGGTAAACAACATCCACAGCCTTTCCCTCATCCACTAAGCAGGTCACCTTGTCATAGAAGGAAATCAGGTTAGTCAGGCAGAACCTGCCCTTCATTAACCCATGCTGACTGTGTCTGATCGCCTGGTTGTCCTGTATGTGCTGCGTGATGCCACTGAAGATGATCTGCTCCATAACCTTCCCCAGCACCAAGGTCAGACTGACAGGACTGTAGTTCCCCAGATCCTCCTTCCGCCCCTTCTTGCAGATGGGTGTCACATTTGCTATCTTACAGTTAACTGGGACCTCCCCGGTTAGCCAAGACTGCTGAGAAATGATGGAAAGTGGCTTGGTGAGCACTTCCACCAGCTCCCTCGGTACCCTTGGGTGGATCCCATCCTGCCCCATAGATTTGTGTGTCTGAGTGGTGGAGCAGGTCACTCACCATTTCCACTTGGATTATGGGAGGGTTCATTTTGCTCCCTATCCCTGTCATCCAGCGCAGGGGGCTGGGTACCCCAAGAACAACTGGTCTTACCATTAAAGACTGAGGCAAAGAAGGCATTAAGTACCTCAGCCTTTTCCTCATCCTTTGTCACTATATTTCCCCCCACATCCAATAATGGATGCAGAGTCTCCTCAGTCTTCCTTTTGTTGGAAATGTTTTTATAGAAACATTTTTATTGCCTTTTACAGCAGTAGCCAGATTTTCTCCCTGCATAGCCTCACACAATCTTTGTAGTCTTCCTGAGTGGCCTGCCACTTTTTCCGCAGGCCATAAACTTTCCTTTTCTCCCTGAGTTCCAGCCAGAGCTCTCGGTTCAGCCAAGCTGGTCTTCTTCCCCACCGGCTCGTCTTACAGCACATGGGGACGGCCAGCTCCTGCGCCTTAAAGATTTCTTTCTTGAAGAACGTCCAGCCTTCCTGGACTCCTTTGCCCTTCAGGACTGTCTCCCAAGGGACTCTGTCTACCAGTCTCCTAAACAGGTCAAAAGTGTTGAGTATTGGATCCTTTCATTTGCTACTATATTTAGTCCTCTGTAGAGAGGAAAAGGTTGGGTTTGGAAAGATTAGAAACAAATTCTGCCAAAAGATATTTTCTTCACTTTTGTTTATAAGCATATTCTGTGAACTTTGTTTACTCTCAGTATGCTTCCCCTTTCCACTGAGCTTTTTATTTGATTTCTGTTTCTGCATATCATTGCTTCACTAAATCAATTTCAGAAAAAAAGAAGGCTGCTACTGTTGTGGCTGACCAGCTAGTCAAATAGAAGTTACTCTATTGTTAATTACAGTGCTGAAGGTTTCCTTTATGTAAGCTAAATATGTAGTTAAGTGGGCAGTCTTAAACTGTAAGTTCCTAGGCCAGCATAACCTCTTTTTTTTTTTTTTTTTTCAATACTCACATTTGCCAAACTATAGCTGTTTTAATTGAAGTGTCTCAACTCTGCAGGAGAGGTGGCAACTGACCCTATTGAATAACAAAACTGTTATCTTTGAGTCATCCAAACCCTTGGAAATTGCCATTCAGAGAGAAAGTTGCTGGATAATACCCAAAGAGTTATTCTAGTAAAATTGCCGTTGTGACTGAAAACAAATCATATCATTATTTAAAAAAAAAAAACAAAAACAAAAAAAACCCAACAACAAAACAACCAGGGGAAAAAAAAGCGCACTGTCTTTTGTCCTGTTGTGGATCTCATACAATTCAGGTGACCAGTGTAGGATATGCAGATAGATTTACTGTCCTAATGACTGTACATTCTTTAATGGAAAAGATACATTTACCAGACTGTGGTAAATACATGTTTTGTTTGATTCAAAAATTGCATATATTTGGGAAGCTCTGAATCATCTGTGTTATTTTTGATTTAAATAACCTTTTTGAAGGTTGGATTCCCTAATTAGAGGCTAAAACTGGAAGTAATTGCCTGTTGGTGACTCTTCATAGTGTTCAGAGTTTCTTCTTAAAGCTGACTGATGTCTATAAAATAGAATTAATTGCCTTCCATTTTTATCTCTGTCTGTCTCCTCCTTACCTGCTGTTTTCATAAAGTTAAATTAGCATGGTTGATGTGAAAGGAAAAAAAGAAGGGACAAATGGAAGATTTGTCCACTAGACAAATGTTCTGGTGTAGAGACTGCAGAAGATCTACACCAAAAGGCAAAGTTCTAGGCCTTCTCCAGGTATTAGTAACTATTTACTTGGGAATGAAGTTACCTTGGGGGCGGAGAGCACATCAGCAGTGGAGATGACACCAGACCAGTAGATCCAGAACAGCACTAACAGTACGTTTGTCACATCAGACTGGTGCATGGCCCAGTGCAGAGCTGCTGTGCCACTTCTGCCTGAGAGCAGCAGATGGAGCTTGGTGCTTTGGGCACTTGGTGCTGAACAGTGAAGAGTTAGTGCAGTGTTCTACAGCCTCCCCGAGCAGGCAGTGCTGGAGCCTCTTTGGCTGTGGTGTTGGGTGTAGTAACACAGCTTCTGAAGATTGGGAAGGGGAAGGAAGACAGAGGATGGACAGGGTACTGGGCGTTGAGTAGATGAGCTGTATTAGCAGTGACGGCTACCAGTTAGAGAATTATTTTAATTAGAACTGATCTTAATTTTAAAAATTAAACCTGAAAAAATTCCCCCTTCAGAAATTGCTGAGTAAGCAGGAAGGTTCCACCCGGGCACACTGCAGTAAGCAGAGCTGCAAGCTCAGAGCCGCTTTGCATGTTTAAACAAATAGAACTGCTAAGCAAGCACTCCATCACTACCACAGCCTGCCCTGTATGTTAATTGGTCTTGCAGCCACCTGGCTCTTTACTGTGACTGCTCTATCCTACCAGTTGCACGAGGAAGAAAGCTGGCGTGTTCCTTTACCTGCCAAGAAAAAGATCTGTCCTTGCTTGTAAACAATGGTTGTCTTCCCAGCACCGTGCTACTAAATACAGAATGCACAGTGAGTTTTCTTAGGAAATCAGGAACAGCTTCTAGGGTTTATGTTTTTCAGTGACTTCCTCTGCCTGTGTGAAAGAAGGTGAGGCCGCAGAGGACTCTTCTCGTGTGTATTTAGGGGTGTGCACACAGATGTAGTCTGGTATGCCTAAGAGCTAACCAGTGCCCATGTCAGTAGTAGTACCCAACCAGGGGAGTTTGGGAACTTCTGTGATAGGCAGTAACTAGATTTCATGACCAGGTCTACACCTTTGTAACTCTAAATATCTTGTCACATGCAGTGCAATCTGCCTTTTATAGAAGACATCCTTTCAGGTTAGCAGCTGTTCCTATACACGTAGTTCTTTGGATTGTTTTGAGGGGCAGGGGCATTCCCGTGATTTAACTTTGGAGTCATAACCAGGAAACGGTTTGCTAAATTTGCCTTCCTTAATTAAGAATAGAAAATTGCTTCTCTTCCATTTTGTTGTTGCAAATGCTTCACCTATGGCTGAATTCAGCCTTTAACCACCAGGATTCCTTAAAACTTAAAATACAGTATTTCCTTGTACATTTAGTAGCTATGGAGATTAAATGAAATCTTTATATATTTAACTGTAATCTACCTTTTCTTTTTTCCATCTTGATAGAAACAGTACGGCCAAAAACACCGCCTGTTACAATAAAGCCTCAAATAAAATCTCAAGAGGTAAAAATGCAGTTATATTTTATCTGGTATTTAGTATGTGAAACTGTTACTTAATAGATAATTATGCAGCCTTTTGAGTAAGTTGTGCTATGAAACCATAATAATATAATATCTGACAGTCCTAACCTGCTGCTGTTCTGTTGTGATATTAGTTTTTAGTGCATACACTTTAAACCCATTTTCAGTGGAAGAAACTAGTTTATCTAAAGAATACTTTCATTAGTACCCTGTACATCATAATAAAATATGTTTTTACTCTGAAGAGTGACATTTCCAAAATGTTCGGAGTAGAAGGTTTCCATTGTGTTTAGACATGAGGAGTACCTTCATAAAAATGTATTCACATGCCGTGTTCTGTCCAATTCTTCAGCAGTTGTCAGGCTTAAGAATAGGAAATCTAAACGATGCATTGCAACAGCAACGTTATTTTATTGCAACAGCAAGAAGAGTTTTGCTTGATACTGCAAAAACCTTTAACTTAGACACGTAGTGACCCTTGTTCGTTTCTGGATTGTAAAATCACTGCCAGAGAACACTCTTGGCAGAAGCAGAGCTGTGCATTCACTTGCCAATAATAAGCAGTGAACTAAATTAAGCTAGAAAGATTTCCAAAGAATAATCGTCTCTATCTTATTTGTGTGTAGAAGACTTATTGAATTGTGGTCAAAATTTAATATTAGTCTTAGGTACCATTCTAAACTACTTAGGAGTTTATTATTTTTTCTGAAGATTACAAAACCAGAATTAAAGTTGTTAAGAGAACACAAAAAGGAGCCTAGGATGAAAAGCAGATCATTTTCAGTACAACTGTTTAATATTTTTGTCTGTACAAAAATACTCTTAAAGAAAAATAGCCTATAAAAAAAAATAATTGTCAGAGTAATTCATTTGGTTTGGGTTTGTGGTGGCTCTATTTAAAAGGTAGTCAGTCACATGAGTGGAAGTATGGGTCAGTGACATTTTTTTCCCCTTTTTGGATAAACTTATACAAAACTGTCTTACTGCAGGATGAGGAAGAGATTTCCACAAGTCCAGGTGTATCAGAATTCGTGAGTGATGCTTTTGATGCCTGTAATCTGAATCAAGAAGACCTAAGAAAAGAAATGGAGCAACTGGTGCTAGACAAGAAGAAAGAGGAGACTTCAGTAGTAGAAGGTAAAGCTATTATTACCTTCTGTGTCTTAAATACAGCTATTCTAAGATAGGTTGATTTTAAAAAAAAAAAAAAAGTAATTCAATTTAAGAAAGCAGATTCATGCCTGTGCTTCAAAGTGTTTGAAATGACCTGCAATGAATTATTGCAGAAATTAATGACAATTCTCACCACAGTTGAACCATGTCTTACAAAGAACGTTAGCTGTGAGGAGTTTAAATCCAAATAACCTAAACAATTTTTAGTTGGCTCTTTTATGAAAGTGTCAGTGGAGTATTTTTTTCTGTCTACCTCCTCCTTTCCCTGCCTTGTCTTTCATACATCCTTTTGTGTATGAATTTTTCTTTCTTTAATTGATGTTGTTGTAGGTAAAGTACAGTATTTGGAAGTCAGGCTATGTTTTCTTCTTGTGACACTAGTTAAAAAGGCAATATTTGCATCAGACTGTGAACTCGCAGATGCCTCTGTAAAAAGTTTACATGCATTTGGAACAGTTAAAATTTAGCAAAGAGCTTTGAGAATGATGAGAAGGAAATAAAGTGGCGCTTATAATTAAAATAATTCAGAAGAACTAATGCCAGTTTAAAAAGCATAAAAACAATCTGTGATGATGTGCTTCTGGCCATACACAATGAACAATTTACTATGAAAACACGTATATGTAGATGCTTATAATACTATTTTCAGAATTCATCTTACAGTGTGTTTTGGATGTTGCTGAATCCTTGTTTTCTGAAACTGTTATTTTTTCCAATACATAGCGACGCTTGAAGAATTCTAGTAATATCAGTTCCTTGCATCTAGGTTTTTGATAGACGTGTTTCAATAAGTCATTAATGTGTAATTTGTTCAGAGACATCTCAGCTGGCCTTAGTGACTTGGACTATGGAATTACGTACCTTCATATCTAGGCTGAAGTACTAACCAACATGTAACGCGTCACCCATTTCCTCGCCCATACTCTTGCATATGATAGGTAGAGCTAATTAAAACAGAGATTAACAACACAGGAATGCCTTCTGACTCATTTTTTGCCCTGAAGTAGGAAATATGATTACCTTTAACCCTGATTAAATGAGCTTGCCTAGCTATAAATGTCAGTGAGGAGAATACCTGCTTCTTTTTTAAGTTATTCACAGTATTTGAGCGTGATTTTTTTTTTTATAACAGTATATCCAACAAACTTCTGAACTTCGTTCATTTTTTTTCCAGAGATTTAAAAGTACGAAGGGAGATTCAGTTGATAGTAGACTGAAAGACTGTAGGAAACGAGCTTACAAAGGGACACTTGTTACGACTAAGATCCATATTTGCTTTTTATAACTTTAGTATAGAATGCACATAAGAATATTATAGACATGTATATTAATTAATTCCTATCCATGGTCAATAAGAAGGTAAAATTTCTGATCTTGAAGTTCCTTTAATTTTTAAGGAGAAATGTCCATAAAGTTTTGCAGATACAAGAGAGATTCAGTGCAAATTCATCTAGTTTTATATAAATAAGTGATATTCTATATTATCAAGTTAATCTTGCACATCATTTATCTCTTGTAGAAGAAACTGCTGATTGGGAAAAGGAATTACAACAAGAGCTTCAAGAGTATGAGGTGGTGACAGAATCAGAAAAGCGTGATGAAAACTGGGATAAAGAAATAGAAGAAATGCTGCAAGAAGAAAATTAAGCATTTTCACAAAATCACTATAACCCTAAGCCTTTTCTGAGAACTGACATGGATTTCTGCTTTCATATTTTGCTTACAAAAGAGCTTCAAAAGACATAGAAGAATCTCAAATCGTTATAATTCCATATGGGGATACAACCAGTATTTCTGTTCTTTATATGAGCAGTTTCTGAACTTCTGCATTCTTCAAAAAAAAAAAAAAGAGAGAGACAGACACTGAAGGTTACGTGTCATAATTAAAAACAGTAACATTATTACATAAAGCAACATTTTAGTTTGAGGCATTTTTAGATGGTCAAAAAGCTCTGCAAAGAGATTTCTAAATCTAAGAATCTCAGTTTTTTTGTCTGCAGCCTTCTGTTTGGGATGTGAAAATGGATGTTGTAAGTAACTTAGTCATTGAAAATAACTCATCACATTTGCACTCTGATCCCTGTATAATCTGTAAATGTGTACTATTTTTAAGGTACTTGTAGCTAGTAGCTTTCATGTGAATTTAACTTCCTTAATGTATGTAGCCAAAGAATTTATAGAAAACCCTATTGAATAACTTCTGATAATTTGTTAAAAAAATACTAATTCAGATTTCAAAAGAAGTACTGATTAATTATTGATCAGGTATGATTAACTGGCAAACATTTAAGCATTTAAATAAGAACAGAGTTATAAACTGCTTGAATTAAACTGTTGCTTTTGTTAAATCATCACATTGAGATATT